AGCAGTGTAAAATTTGTTTCCATTCGTGAAATAAACAGACCAAGACCGTGCCTGTCTTAATGGTCCCATTGCTAAAATTCGCAAATAAGAATCTTGTGAGATCTCTTGTGGATTACTATTCACCTATCAAACAGAGAAATTTTATTAGATATACATTTCAAATGATATATTCTTTATTCACAACTGATTATATTAATTCATACATATTCCTTGAACCATCGTGGAAAGTCAGCTTCAATTTGCTTATCAATGATATCATAAGTAAGATCATTGTAAGTATCTCTCCAGGCTTTTTCATACAAACTGCACTCAGTTAAATTAATAAATTAATTTCAGCCTAAATATAATAATCATATGTACACTATGGTGGGTACTTACTTGAGAAAAGGCTTAACCTTATCGCAATTAATAAGAACATGCAACTGTGCTGCAACAACTTCTTTATCATCTAGCCACCGAATATTGCCTTTTTTCTTGCCATAACTTCGTCCAGAAAGATTAAAGACTGATAGAGTTGGTTGAGTAGCATTTTTTGTGATTAAATCATCATTGCGATCAACTCTATTATTGCTAGTTAGGACATGCGATTCAAAATAATGGGAAGCAAAGTATGATGCTTGCTTGGCAAATAGATCCTTCAACTCTAGATTTGTTTTTGATAGTCTTCTTTATTTTGTTTAGGAATCTGCAATCAAATTATGAAATAAATAAATTATGTAATAAAATGATGAGAAAAATAATAAATTCTTAAAATAAATTGGTATACCTTTCAAATGGATACATCCATCGGTATTGAACAGGACACAAACCCTTGCTTCATAAGGCAAATGAATCATTAAGTGCTCCATTGAATCAAAAAGACCGGGTGGAAATATACGTTGCAATTTACACAAGATTAATGGAATGTTTTCTTCCATTTGCCTTAAATGATCCTCCTACAATACTGTTGAGCACAAGTCTTTAAAGTATAGACTGAGTTCGGTTAGTGGCTTCCAAATTGGTTTTGGAAGTGCACTAAAAGCTACTGGAATAAGACATTGCATAAAAATGTGGCAGTCTTGACTTTTCATTCCAAATAACTTTAAATGTTTCTTATCAACACATTTACCCAAATTAGAAGCATATCCATCAGGCATTTTTAGCTCATGAACCCACTCACATACATCTTTCTTTTGGTCGTCATTTAAGGTAAACTTTTCTTTCGGTTTAATCCATCTCCCATCAGCATTCTGTTGCAAGTGTAAATCACTTTGACGACAATATTCTTTCAAGTCCATTCTTGCCTTCTCATTATCCTTTGTTCTCTCACTGTAATCCATGACTGTATGGAAAATATTGTCAAAGACATTCTTTTCTATATGCATTACATCAAGATTGTGGCGAACTAGATTGGTCTTCCAATATGCCAGATCCCAAAAAATACTTCTTTTGGTCCAATTATGTGATTTTCCATAACCATAAAAGTTGCAAGGACCAGTTTCTGTACTCTTAGGAAATCCTTTAATTTTTTTTCCACACTTGTTCTCTAGTTAACCTGGGAGGAGATCTAGACTTTTCCTCTCTTCCTTTATAAATATCAGTCTTGTTTCTTCTAAATTCATGATTAAGAGGCAAGAATTGCCGGTTACAATCAAACCAAGAAACTTTTCTTCCATTTTTCAAACTGAAAGTTTTTGTTTCATCCATACAAATTGGGCAAACTAATTTACCTGTTGTACTCCATCCCGACAGCGTGCCATAAGCAGGAAAATCATTAATTGTCCACATCAATACTGCTCGCATAAGAAAATTCTATTTATTGGACATGTCATAAGTGATTGCACCATCCTTCCATAACTATTGTAATTCAACTATTAACGGTTGAAGATACACATCAATTTTCTTATTGGGATTATGAGGACCTGGAATAATCAATGTTAAGAACATATATGGGGCAGTCATACAAATATCAGGAGGAAGATTGTACGGTGTAACAATCACTGGCCAACAAGAGTATGATGATCCTGATTGGCCAAAAGGAGTAAAACCATTAGAACAAAGACCAAGCCTAACATTTCTAGGCTCTACAGCAAAGTCTGGATAAGTTCGATCAAAAAATTTCCATGATTCTCCATCTTAAGGGTGGCATAACAAACCTTCTTCCCTGCGATTTTCATAGTGCCACCTCAGGTGTTCAGCAGATCTTTTTGAAGCATATAACCGTTGAAGTCTAGGAATAAGTGGTAGGTAATTGTCTTGTGTGGAATCTTTTTCTTACCCTTCTTGCCCACACGTTTTTTATAACGAGGTTCCTTACAAAACTTACATTCTGTCATCTCTTTATCAGCCTTGTAATATAGCATACATCCATTAACACAACAATCAATTTTTTGGCTAGTTACACCAAGCCCCGACGCTAACTTCTTCGCTCGGTAGTAATCAAGAGGTATCTTATTATCTGGAGAGCTTGTCTCCTTCATTAATTGAGCCATTACATTAAAACAACTATGAGACATATTGTATTCAGATTTAATACTAATCATTCTAACAACGACAGACAACTCTGAATATTCGCATCCATGCCATAAGGGATTCTGAGCTTAATTCAACATTTTGAAAAATCAGCTAGCACTTATATTCGGAGACTCTTCTACATTGGGTTCAACTTGATGACTAACTTCTACAACAGCAGCAACATCAATCATACCTACGTGTTCACAGTTTTTTTCTAGAATGTTACATTGACTGCTTGAGGGCATGTCAAAGTCACATTCTTGATGATTACTTGAATCACCAGAATAGATATGTTCATTCAAATTAATTGAATGGGTTTCCTCTCCATGTGACGTCCAATATCAATATCTTGATGTGAATCCTTTTTGAAAAACATGCACATTAACTTCATCGGGTGTCAGGTGCTTCATATTTTTACAACGCTTACAAGGACACCTTATAACTTTTTCAGATAAATACTTCTGTTGACTACAAGCAAATTTAATAAATTCATCCATTCCACTTATAAATTCATCAGTATATCCCGCTCAACCAGGGATTAGTCTATTTACCATCCATTTTCGATGCTCGGAAATTTTCATTTTCTAAACAAAAAAATAAATATGTTTGTAAACACATAAATAATGAAATTTAGATACTGTATGGTTCAACAATGGTTCAAAAAATTTAAGAATAGAGTATATGTGATCAGTGGGTCAAAACTAAACATATAGAATGACATATAAGGGCAAAGAGAAGAGTGGTATTGGCGTGTCTAGCATCACTATGATGTAGTCAGAACAAATTTTCTGTAAAATGGGATTTTACTAAAACAAAGAGGAAAGCACACATAGTAGAATATAGACTGAAACAAAATGTGATGGAAATCACTACTTAAAAGAACCAGTCGTGAATACATTACATGCCCATAAGAAAGGAAAAGAAAAAAATGAAGCATTTCATACACTTTTTAATCATCTGCAGAGAGTATATACAGCTAGCCCAAATATATTAATATCCTACCTACTGGAATAATCTCCAAAGCATTCTAATATGAGAACACAGACAACATACATATGATGTATTAACTGAAGCAGAGGTCTAAAAAGAATGAAATCATAAGCTAATTCTTATAGATGTGTCAACCGAATACTTTTGACCTTTCGCATTCTACTCATGGTCCAACAGACAATTTGGTTAGAAAATGAAATATAATCACAAAATGGTTAGGTTGAATTAACTGAATTTTGGGTTGTTCCATCAAGTAAAGGAAACAGAATGAGGAACACGATCCAACATCAAGCAATCACATCACTAACCGTTGGAATATAATCACAAAATGGCTCAACAAAACTTGATTTAAACAGAAAGAACGAAGCATCTTCGTCACGCTAAGCAAAAGCACCCACATTGAAGGTATCCTGCAGACGCTTGGATACCTCAACCATCCCAGAAAACAGAAGCCCAAACTGCTCCACTGGTTGTTTTAAGCCAGAATAAAACCAAGACTTACCAGATTTTAGTGAATCAGTTCCACATGATCTCTGCGGGGACCTTTTTCAGAAATCAAACTACAAGAACAGAAACTGAAAGGTGCAAAGCAAACATGCTCTTCCACTCTCTTTCGTACAGTTCAGAATAACTGATGAATTGAGCAAGGGGAAAAACTGATGAACATGTAAAGAAAAGATGACAACAAGTTGTACTAAGTTTCAAGATTATGAATATATTCATACTTCTAATTTTAGCTCTCTTTCAGATTGTACTTGACTCAACTACTCATTTGACGTTATCCTTAAGTGGTTAACATATAATTCATGTGTTGATTCCTCTCTAATAAAGTATGAACTATGAACAATAATAGACCAAATAAAGTATGAACTATGAATATATTTGTACTTATATGTTAAAGTATATAAGGCAAAAGTTAAAGGAGCTGAAGCCACACTTAAAATTGCTAAACAATAATAATTACAGAGGAGCCACAGAGAAGACCCAACTCATCAGACATTATTTAAACGTAGTATAGTCCAGCAACTACAAGTGACCAAATTAAAGGAGCAGCCACAAGTGACCTAATTAAAGGAGCAGTTGAGTTAAAGTAATAGTCGAGATGCTAGAACAAACATCATTTGTAGGATATTAAAATTCAATAATCTATAGAGAAGAAACATAATAAGGACATACACTCATCTTCTCCAATATTGGTGGCAAGTTTACCCACCAACCAACATCTATATGTATGGGTGTGGGTTGTAGCAATCTGTTGATGATTACCTGAAATGTGCACAGTTGATCCAAACACCGCCATCATAAACAAAAAACTAACAACATAACAAGCACCTAAGAAGAAATACAACTAATGAAAAATAAAAATGAGCTAAACTTAACACCGCAACAATCATTGGCCAAGTAATTAAGCGACATATTTGATTTGCAAGTAAATTTCACTCGATTTTCATCCAAACTAAATCAGTAAACAAAAATTTACAGATTAACTTCACAGAGATTGAAATTTATAGATTAACCTCGATTTTTGGATAGATTGACAAGCAAATCTTCCGATCTGTAGTCCTTTACTTTGGAAAAATCTGCTTGAAGAGAAGCATGAGGTCTGCTTGGAGAGTTTTGAGATGAGCTTGGAGATGAACTTTGGATGAGCTTGGAACTTGGAGCTACACCGATTGGAGCTTTGGAAAATCAGATCGTTTCCACCATTGCTTCATCATGTAAGTTTTGGAGAGAAGCTTTAGTGGGTTTTGGAGAGAAGCTTCAGTGTAAAGTGAGTTAGAGAGAAGGAAAATGAGTATAGTGGGTCTAACAATCACTTTCCAATTCCTAAAATTTTAATTGTGTTTTTAATTGGTTATTATCCAAAAATAAATAAAAATATAAGTGTAAAAAAATCTAATCATCTAAAAGATATATAACTTACTAATTATTTTTGGAATTAGTAATTTAGGAATGTCTAGGTAAATTATTTCTCATTCCTAAATTCCCAATTATTTCTCAAGGTAATAAAATGTCTAGGTAAATCCCCATAAATAATTTTTTAGACAATCTGGAATTTTCCTACAAATTAAAAGGATTTTTTAAAAAAAAAAAAAATTGGTCCATGTACCTAGGGATTTAGCTAGAGATATTGTTCCTGCGGATATATTTCCCTAGGTAATTTTGCAGGAACTAATTTAGAAAAAGATGATGCTCCTGTTTTTGAAATGTTGCATGATATATATCATGGTGTTCCCAATAATAGTTATGACTTTGATAAGACAACTGAGTCACCACACGAAGAGCCTAATGCAGAAGCTAAGAGATTCTATAAGTTAATGAAGGATGCAGAAACTCGATTGTATCCAAGTTGTGAAAAGTTCTCCAAACTCTCTTTTATAGTGCGTCTTTTTCAAATGAAGTGTATGCATGGATGGAGTAATACTTCATTTGACTCTTTGTTGAAATTACTTAGTGATGATTTACCTAAAGAAAATGTGCTCCCAAATTCTATTTATGAAGTTCAAAAGATAATTAAAGATTTGGGTTTAGATTATGTGAAGATAGATGCATGCGTTAATAATTGTATCTTATATAGAAAGGAATATGCAGATCTTGAACAATGCCCTAAATGTGGTGAAAAAAGATGGACAATGAGAAAAGGAACAGATGCCAATAGTGAGGTTGCTTCAGGTAATTTGAATAACAAAAAGAAAGGAATTTCTAGAAAGATTCTTAGATACTTTCCTATTATACCTAGATTACAACGATTGTTTATGACAAAAGGAACCGCAAAAGAAATGAGGTGGCATAAGGATGAACGAGTTGATGATGGAGTGTTACGACATCCTGCTGACTCATTGGCATGGAAAAGTTTTGATGAAAAATATCCAAATTTTGCTTCGGATCCTCGTAGTGTAAGACTTGGACTTGCTTCAGATGGTTTTAATCCTTTTGGTTCAATGAGTAATTCATATAGCATGTGGCCAGTTATCTTGATTCCATATAGTCTCCCCCCCATGGCTATGCATGAAACAATCTAATCTTTTGTTGTCTTTACTTATTCCTGGACCGAAAGGTCCTGGTATGGATATTGACGTGTATCTCCAACCTTTGATTGATGATTTGAAAATCTTATGGGGGGATGGAATTGAGACTTATGATGCTTTTATGAAACAAAATTTTCAATTACATGCTTCTTTGTTGTGGACAATCAATGATTTTCCTACTTATGGTATTTTATCTGGTTGGAGCACTAAAGGTAAATTAGCTTGTCCAGTTTGTCATGTGCATACTTGCTCTGCTTACTTGAAACATGGTCGAAAGCAATGCTATATGGGTCATCGTAGGTTCTTGGAGATAAATCATCCTTATCGTCAAAATAAAAGTTTTTTCGATAACACAAAGGAAGAAAGAATTGCACCACATGCTTTGAGTGGTGAAGATGTGCTTGTGCAACTTAATACCTCTTCACAAAGGTCCAGCGATGACAACACAAGAAAAAGAAAACGAGATACTGAAAGATATGATAATTGGAAAAAGAAAAGTATATTCTTTGAACTTCCATATTGGAAGACTTTATTGTTGAGACATAATTTGGATGTGATGCACATTGAAAAGAATATTAGTGAAAGTGTGTTAGGTACGTTGTTGGATATTGAAGGAAAAACAAAGGACACCCTGAAATCTCGATTGGACTTACAAGAAATGAAGATCAAAAAGTCCCTCCATCCCATAAAAAGTGGGGATAAATACATACTTCCTCCAGCAAGTTATACAATGTCTAAGGCGGAAAGGATTCAATTTTGTCAGCTCATCAAAGAAGTTAAGTTTCCCGATGCTTACGCTTCTAACATTAGTCGTTGTATCAAGGAAGCTAAAATTTTTGGGCTTAAAAGTCATGATCATCATGTTCTTTTTCAGCGTATTGTACCACTTATCATTAAAGAAATTTTACCAAAAGATGCACATGACCCATTAATTGAATTGTCATTGTTCTTTAATGATTTGTGTTCTAAAGAGCTATCTGTGGAGAAGCTAGATCAGCTAGATAAAAGCATACGAATGACATTATGTAAATTAGAACGTGTGTTCATGCCGACGTTCTTTGATGTTATGGTTCATTTGGCAATTCATTTGGCAAATGAGGCGAAGTTGGGTGGTCCTGTTCAATTTCGATGGATGTATTACATTGAAAGGTTGGTTTCTTACTTTTTAAATCTATTATTTTAATTTAAATTTATTAAAATATTAATATCTTTCTTCATAGATTTCTGCGAACCTTGAAAGGTTATGTACGCAACAACTATCGTGTAGAAGGATCAATTGCTGAGGGTCATATCGCAGGAGAGTGCATTACATTGTTCTCTAGATATTTGAGTGATATGGAAACGAAGCAAAATCGTCCAGATAGGAATTCTAATTCTTCTGACATTGAACACAATAGCTTATCTATATTTAATTGTCATGGTAAACCACTAGCAGGGGGTTCCTGGACAAATTTGAATACTTTAGAAATCAATCAGGCTCATTTTTACATTCTCCAAAATTGTGAGGAAGTCAGACCTTGGATTGAGTAAGATTTGTTTCACCTTTACATCATTTTCTTACAAACACTTAACAATTGTGTTCTATTTTTTTTATAATTTTTTTCAAATCTCCCCAATCTATAGGGAACATTTAGAAATTTTAACAAAGGAGAACAATAGAAATGTAGCAAAGAGACACAAGGAGGAATTTCCTTTATGGTTTGAAAAAAAGGTAAAATCTTTCATTTGATGATTTGTAAATTTATTTTTTAAAATAACATTAATATTATTTGTGATTTTGAAATTAAAATACTACAGGTGATACAATTAAAGGAAAATGGTGATAACCGAATTACTGAAGAATTACTAATTTTGGCAAGACCTCCAAACCCTCGAGTTTATTGTTATAGCGGATATGTATTGAATGGTTCTCGATTTCGAACAATGGAATCTGAGCTAGGTTTGAAAACTCAAAATAGTGGTGTGGTTGTGAAGAGTGATGAACATACAGGAAATGTTGATTATTTTGGAAGGATAAGAAGAATTTTAGAGATCCAATATATGAACAATAAATCAGTTTTGTTATTTCAATGTGATTGGTTTGAAGTTCCTCCTCAAAGTCGTAGTCAAAGTAGAGGTTACAAAAAAGATGAATATGGATTTGTCTGTGTAGATATAACACGACTTCATTACACAAGTGATCCATTCATTCTAGGCTCACAGGCTCAATCAGTGTATTATGTGAAACATGGTCAAAGTGAAAAATGGCATTCAGTGATAAGGGTAAGACCACGAAATTTGTATGATCTTCCCGAACAAAAAGATGAAATGGAACAATATCAACTGATTGACTTAGTTGAAAGAGGAGAAACAAATCAAGAAGTAAAGTTGGAGAATGATAACATTAGAATAGAAAGAGAAGATATTGATAGAGTGAGTGTTGAAGCACCTTCTCTCAATAATGAGGAAGAAGCCGACTTAGTAGTTGTAGATGAGCCTGATCATGAAAATATAGATGACTTCAGTGATTCTGCAACAGATGAAGATACTAGTGAATATGATGAAGTTGAGGATGATGATTGGTTTTGATTTTCAACTTGTCATCAAGATAAAATTTGTTTGAATCAGTTTGTCCGTAGAAGTTTTGTTTTTCACTTACCGAAATAGTTAATTTCTATTTTCTACTTTTCCCATATTTCTTTATCTTTTTGCTTAGAAGCTTTATTTGTTTCTCTCAATTTTTGAACACTATTTTATTACTTTATCATTTTGGCATTGCTTTTGTTTGTTAATTGCTATCTTTTACTTTTATGATTTGTAATTTTGACTAGTATTTATTTATATAATATTATAGTATGTTGCAGCTAATCATGTAGTGGGATATTACTCGGTTTGTTGTTGTTGTGGTTGTAGCCAATCATGATGAAAAATATGCATATTTCTAATGATAGTGAAACTGCCGATGTAAGCGCAATCCTGCCTCCAGGTAAGTTTATCCATTTGTTAAATTGTATCTCTTCAAAATCTCTAGATCATATATGTTTTATTTACATATATTTTAATATCTCTATGTATTGTTAAAGAAAAAAAGAGAAAGGGAAGAGGAAAGACAACAGGGCTTTCAACCCAAAAGAAACGCAAGGAAAATGACAATGGAAAGTTGAAGGTGATTATCCCACCAGATCGAACAGTTGCAGTAGGTCCTGGAGCTAAAGATTTTATTACCGAGCTCTCAGTGAAAGTTCTCCATAATGCTAGACATGATGTCAAGAATTGGAAAGGAGTTCCTGATCTAGCAAAGAATAGGATTGTTGCTTATATGCTGGTAATGCACTTTTCTCTTTGTCTTTTTTTGGTTGAGATAGTAAATGGTTAGTAATGATATCTCTGACTATCTAGTTCTCTGTCTCTTTTATCTTGTCGAAGAAGTTCAGCTATTTGGCTTTCTTTTGCATTATAGTTGTATTTCTGATTATCGTGATAGCTCCCTGACTTCTTTGTTGAATTGGTATACGGTCAGTACTTGGCCTTCTTATGCATTGTAATGTACAAAAATTGATCCTTCAATGTAATTTTTCTTTTTTTTCTAGCATCTGATCATTTTCTAACTGGGCTTAAAAGTCATGATCATCATGTTCTTTTTCAGCTAAACTTGTTGTTGAAATGCTAAATGTTCAGTAATGGTATTTCTGGTAATGTAGTTCTCTGTCTCTTTTATCTCATTGAAGTTCAACTATCTTTTCTTTCAATGTATTTTTTCTTTCTTTGTAGTATCTTGATCAGTTTCTAGTTGTTTTCCCAATAAGCATGTACACCAGGCAATCTAACTGTGATAAGTTGGACTATACCTGCATATGATAGGGTCTTACAATTGATGTGCGTATTTTAGCTGTGATTTTGTTGACCAATGGTTTGCATTGTAGAGTTGTTAATCTTCTGGTAGAGAGAGGGACTGCAAGATACCTAAAAGGCAACTCTCCAAATTCATACCCTAGTATTCCCAATAGCCTCTGTTGAATATGACTACTTACTCCTCCAAAATAAGCCTGACTTTTTCTTTAAGTTTGCCTGGAGTCCTAAAGCTACTGAAAATAACTCAAACTTGTTGTTGAGTATTTGCACAGATGCTTCATCTCCTCTTGCCTAGAGCCCTGTTTGAGATTAGGTTTGCCTGGAGCCCTGTCTGAGACCTCTCTTAACTTTGATAGTTTCTGATTAAGCACCATTGATATGAAATGTATTGCTGACAGTTCTTATAGCCAGTTAACCATCATACTATGAAATCCAATCTCCTATAACATTTGCTCAATGAAATGCCATTCAATTGAATTCAATCTCGTATAACATCTTCTTCACACTCTTGTTGGCTGAATCTTTTCCTTTGACCATTCTCCCAATTTAACGTTTTGGTTCATTTAAAGAATATCTCAATAGGGCATTATCTCATCGAAGAAAGTTTGGCTACTTGACCTCCATATTCATTGTAATCTGCATCAACTGATGTTTAATGTAGTTTTTCTTCTAGCATTTGATCATTTGTTTAATGTATTCCTCACTGATTTTGTACCTATGGAATATTTTTCTCTCGTGTTTATCTGCGAATCTCACCAAATGAAATTCTTTAGCTTCTTTATTACTTGTTCTTAAACTATGTCTAGAGAATATGTTGTTGGAAATCTTAAATTTTTCCAACACAAACTGTCTTGAACGAAAATAATTTATTAGTTGATCAACTGAAAATGAACTCAGGAATCATAATAGCATGAAAAAAATCTGTAATACTAAGTTAGATATCAACAGAGGATGTTCAACTATATCTCCATATTCTGGTTCAGTAGCTACCTGTTTCTTCAAAGTTAGTTCTAAGTTTTGTGAACTAATATTTTCAGTTGCTGCTGAGACCAGTAACTGTTAAAGAAGAACACTCTATGTCCAGTTCATATGTTGCAGATTACTTAGAAAATCTGTGGGGCATTACAAAAAATTAGAAACTTGTTCCAATCTCAACCCTTCTAATCTGTGACACGATAGCACCTCCCACGACTATAGCCAAAAGAACAACACCTACTCATTTCAGACACCCATGTCGATGAGATAGCCTTGTTAACAACATTTTATAGTACTTTTCTGCATCCCTGAAATGGTACTGGTGACCAGTTAGTGATTTCTCATTCTACAAGTAAAAGTGAAACAAAATAGTCATTGACTTGAATGAGTTTGGGTGTGTTGCCTCAGTTAGCATTCTCTATATGGTTACTTTACATAACATTTCTTGCCTTGTTGATGATGATAAAAATTACGATGGCCCTTCCTTGCATCTGAATAAACCTTTATTTTTTTCCTCTTTAAAGAGGCCCATGAATATGAAAGGAAAGGGAGGTGACTCTCCATGAATGTGGCCAAGGCCTCGTGAACGTGGAGGTCTTAGATCGTGGCCTCCTGCATTCAGTGTTGCACCAGCAACAACCCAAAGTCAATGGTTATAATGAATTACCATACAAAACGCTAAATGCCACAAAATCATCCTAGCTGCCTCGGGAAACGAATCAAAGGTCATTCTAGATGAAACGCGGCGTGCCAGAGCTAACCGCGCTAATGGAATTTCATTCCGAGTGTGTTTACTAAGAAAGCTGACCGAAGGAAAATGTAAAACTAGCAACTGTTGTGGAAAAGAGTCCATCAAATGCACTATGTTAACTTACTTATGAAAAGATTTGAGCGAGAAATTTGATATAGAAGATGTTGAACTTTTGAGAACTACAGTTGGCCGGGTTAGGAACTAACTAAGACACATTTTATTTAGCCTAACTAGTTATACTATTTTGATTGCAGGACACCTTTCAGCTTCCGGACATACAACACAATCGGGATACGATTCTTCAAACAGCAAAAAATTTATATCGATATCGTCGGAGTAGACATCATGATCATTTCAAGAAATTTGCTACAAAAGAGGAGAGTCTGCAAAACATACCAACAGATGTTAATGAAGTTGAATGGAAATTCTTGGTAGACTACTTCAGCTCTGATGATTTTAAGGTAGTTGAAAGTGAAAAATTTAACCTTTTATGTTGTTTGTTTTCTTTTTTGACTTCTCATATACTTAGATCAAAATAAATTTCTAAACTCAAAATCAATGCAGAAAATGAGTGAAAGAAACAAAAATAACAAGGCAAAACAAGAAGTGAATCATATTTGCGGCAGAAAAACTTTTCAAGCAGTGTCTTATGAAGCGGTGAGATATATGTCTATCTTTTGATCGATTATAGTTACAATTTAAACAATAACATAATTTCATTTGTTTTGACAGAGGGACACAACCACTGGAAAAGAGCCGAATTTTCAAAAACTTTGGGAAATAACTCACATGAAGCCAAATGGGCAATGGGTTACTAATGCTTCTGCTGAAGTGAATGTACTTTTTTTTAACCTTTATTCATAGAATGAGTTTATTTAAATAAATATGGAGAGCTAAAGCTAGTATAACCTTTTTTGTAGGATAAAGTGAAAGATGTTGTTGCTGAAAAAATTCAAGAAATTGAAGAGGGTATCGATGTGGATCCTATTATTAATACTGCATTTGTGCAAATAATGGGAGAAAAATCAAAGTGCATTCTTGGTCAAGGACCTGGAATTAAGTTAGCAAGTAGAATATCTAGAAATGAAATTCAAGAACAACTTCAAGCACAACAAAAGGAAGCAGAAGAAGAACGTCGTAAACGAGAGAGTGTAGAAAGCAAGCTAATGGAAGTTAAGAATCAACTTGAAGAGGAGCAAAAAAAACGAGAAGTAATGGAAGTTCGTTTAGTGCATGACCAAAAATTGTTAAAAGAGAGCATGATGGCGCTAGTATCTCATTTGCAGAATCCAAAGGTATTTATTTATAGTATACATCGCTAAATTAGTAGATGCTACATTACTACTTAAATTTTTTTCACTCTCACTATACATCTTTGCCTCTTCCTCGATCTATTCTTCTTTTATCGACATACTAAGTTATTAATTTGTACAGAATGGCCTTCCTGCTTCAATTTTCAATATCATTACAGCTTCAACTAGTTCAAAGGAGACAAGTTCTGCAAGTCTAATGAATGACAAATGGGTAAGTAAATGTCTCATATCTATTGTTTCTATTCTCAAGGGTAAAAATTTAGACTTGCATTGGCTGCTGTTAGGCGTGCTTGATGTGATCCTCTGAACACGACCTCTTGGATTATCCTCCGAATTACCTTACGGGGCTCAATTTTCATAGCCTTGAACACACTATTATTCCTTTCAATCCAAACATAGTAGACACCGGCAGCCAAGGTCATTTTATAGATGGCATCAACAACTCTACTTGTCTATCTATTCCCAGCCATTGTAACAGCTTGAACCATATAGTAGCAGCATATGTACATTGGAAAAATAGATGGTCTATACTCTCAGGTTGTTCAGATAGAATTTCTCTTTATGTAATAGCAGTGGACCCACTTCTTTTTTACAGCACAAATTCCATAGCAACTTGCATATAGCTATCTTGTTCCAATAGGCTACATCTAGGATGTTTAGTCCTCCTACCTCTATTGGTAAGCAAACTCTTATTACTA